AACACACATGAAGAAATGGAAGGAGCACAAATTAATTGCCTAACAAGCCACCTAAGGAAGCTGGAAAAGCAAGACCACAAAAACCCTAATTTCAGCTGAAGAATCCAGATCACCAAAATAAAAGCCCAAATCCAGGACATAGAAGACAAAAAGACAATACAAAAAAATCAATGAAACAAAAAGCTGGTTCTTCGAAAGGATAAACAAGATCGATGGTCCCCTAGCTAGACTCACCAAGAAAAAGAAAGAAAAAACCCAAATAAGCACAATCAGAAACACAAAAGATGAAGTCACATCTGACCCTGAAGAAATACAAAAGATCATCAGAGACTACTATGTACACTTGTATGGAAACAAACTTGAAAACCTCAAGGAAATGGAGGACTTTCTGTCATCACACAACCTGCCTAGGTTGAAACAAGAAGAAATTGAGACCCTAAATAGACCAATAACAATCAAGGAAATTGACTATGTAATAAGAAAACTACCTACAAAAACAAGCCCTGGACCAGATGGCTTTCCAGCAGAATTCTACAAGACATTTAAGGAGGAACTGATTCCAATCCTACTGAAGCTATTTCAGGTGATTGAGAAAGATGGAAACCTCCCCAAATCATTTTATGAAGATAACATCACATTGATACACAAGCCAGCTAAAGATCCAACAAAAAGTGGACTACAGGCCAATATCTTTAATGAACATAGACGCTAAAATTCTCAACAAGATTCTAGCAAACTGGATTCAACAACACATCTCAAAAATCATCTATTATTACCAAGTAGGCTTCATCCCTGGGACACAAGGCTGGTTCAATATTCATAAAACAATAAATGTAATTAAATACATCAACAGATGTCAAAACAAAAACCACATAATTATATCATTAGATGCAGAAAAAGCTTTTGATAAAATCCAGCACCCCATCTTGATAAAAACCCTCAAACATCTAGGCATACAGGGAACATATCTCAAAGTAGTAAAAGCCATCTATGAGAAACCCACAGCCAGCATACTCCTAAACAGACAAAAATTAGAACCATTTCCTCTGAAAACTGGAACAAGACAAGGATGCTCACTCTCACTCCTCCTGTTCAATATGGTATTGGAAGTCCTGGCTAGAGCAATCAGAGAAGAGAAGGCAATCAGGGGTATCCAAATAGGAAAAGGGGAAGTCAAATTATCTTTCTTTGCAGATGATGTGATTGTATACCTTGAAAACCCAAGAGAATCTGTCAAAAAACTCCTTACACTGATAAAGGCCTTCAGCAAAGTCTCAGGATATAAAATAAATGTGCAAAAGACAATCGCATTTCTTTACACCAATAATAAACAAACAGAAACCCAAATAAGAAGCACAATTCCATTCACAATAGCAACAAAAAACATGAAATACCTTGGCATCTTCCTAACCAGAGATGTGAAAGACCTTTACAATGAAAACTACAAAACTCTGCTCAAAGAAATCAAAGATGACACAAACAAGTGGAAAAATATCCCATGCTCATGGATTGGAAGAATCAACATTGTGAATATGTCCATCTTACCTAAGGAAATCTACAAATTCTATGCAATACCCATCAAATTACCAGCAACATTCTTCTCACACCTAGAAAAAACAACAGAGAAATTCACATGGGAACACAAACATCCAAGAATAGCCACAAAAATCCTCAGTAAAAAAAAAAAAAACAAAGCAGGTGGTATCACATTACCAGACTTCAAACTTTACTATAAAGTTACAATCATCAAAACAGCTTGGTATTGGTACAGGAACAGGCATATAGATCAATGGAATAGAATTGAGATTCCAGAAGCAAAACCTTAATTTCTGAACCAACTTGTCTTCAACAAAGCCTCCATCACCTACCATTGAGGAGAGGAGAACCTATTCAGTAAATGGTGCTGGGAAAACTGGCTGACCACATGCAGAAGATTGAAACAGGACTTCCATTCATCCTCATGCACAAAGGTTAACTCCAAATGGATCAGAGACCTAAATGTAAAACCTCAAACAATAAAAACCTTAGAAAATGAAGGACATACCCTCATGGAAATCCGGACTGGCATTGAATTCCTGAACAAAACCCACAACCCGCATGTCATAAGCAAGAAGATACAAGTGGGACCTTATTAAACTGACAAGCTTCTGCAAAGCCAAAGAAACCATTGAGAGAGCAGGGAGACAGTCTACAGACTGGGAAAAAGTATGTGCCAACTCCTCGTCTGACAAAGGCTTAACATCTTGGATCTACAAGGAACTCAAACCTGCTGAAAAGAAAAAACAAACAACCCCATTATGAAATGGGCAAAAGATATGAACAGACACTTCACAAAGGAAGACATGTGAGCAGCCAACAGACACATGAAGAAATGTTAAGCCTCACTAATCATTAGGGAGATGCAAATCAAAACCACACTGAGATACCACCTAACTCCAGTCAGAATGGCAATTATCATCAACAATTCAAAAAATAACAGCTGCTGGAGAGGGTGTGGAGAAAAGGGAACACTTCTACACTGTTGGTGGGAGTGTAAACTAGTGCAACCTCTGTGGAAAGCAGTGTGGCAATTCCTAAAATCTCTGAATATCAACCTCCCATATGACCCCACAATCTCCCTACTGGGAATATATCCTGAAGAACTCAAATCACTCTATAAACAGGATACCTGCACACATATGTTTATCGCAGCATTGTTCACAATAGCAAGAACCTGGAAGCAACCATGCTGCCCATCAAAAGAGGACTGGATTACAAAAATGTGGTACATATACATGATGGAATACTATGCAGTCATAAAAAAGAACAAAATCATGAATTTCGCAGCAACCTGGATGGAACTAGAGCCTATAATACTGAGTGACCTCTCACAAAAACAAAGATCCGAGTATCACATGTTGTCACTCATATAATGGACCTTGAACATCCAATGTAATACTACAAGAAAACGACTGACAGTAGTGGGAAACTATGGGTGGGGAGGGAGATGGCATTAATGGTAGCAAACATCTGTCTGGCGATGAGGAAACACCTCTTATCAACAGGGTGCCTGAACGAAATGTATTTGTATACCTAACCCTTAACTGTACCCCACAATATCATAATAAAAAATATTGATAAATAAAAAAAAAGACAAATACATGGACTTTGCAGCAAATTGGATGGATTTGGAGTCTATCATACTCAGTGATTTATCACAGAAAAAAAGACCTGAGTTCCATATGTTCTCACTCATAAAGTGAACAAGGAAAAAGACTCTCCCCTACAGCCTCCAAAAAGAAATAACAGTTTTATCAACATTTGAGTCCAGTGACCTGTTATTGAATTGCAGAGCTATAACATAACTGTAACATAACTCTTTGTGTTACAAGATAGCAAATTTATGGTAGTTAGGTATAGCAGCCATAGAAAACTAACAAAGTTTTATTTCCACATGCATTGTATTCACAAGCTTTCATTATGTAATACAAAAGCTAGTGTTTAAGAGTGGATTTATTGGCCAGGCTCAGTGGCTCAGCCTATAATCCCAAGGTGAGAGGATTGCCTGAGCCGGCAGGTTCTAGAAGATCCTGGTCAACTGGGTAAGACTTCATCTGTAAAATAAATTAGCTAGGTGTGGCAGTACGAGCTTGTACTTCTGGCTACTTGGGAGGCTGAGATGGAGAGATCCCAGGAACCCAGGAGGAAGATGCTGGGGTGACTGTGAGTGTGAAACTGCACTTCAGCCTGGGCAGCTGAGTAGATTCCAACTCAACAACAACAACAACAACAACAACAACAACAAAAAAGTTTATTAAAGGAGTCTTTCCAAGACTCCCAAGGTATAGAAGCACAATACATGTATTACTTTGGTAAATTTCCTTTTTTTCTTGCTTTTAAACAACTCATTTTTGTATAATAAATTCTCCTATATTACTAAAAATATTTCCTGTATCTACTGTCTCTACAAGTGCCTTTTTTATGTTTCTCTGACACATGATAAAGTACAACATAACACTGAAAACAACACACACCATTTCCTAAACATTCCTCTAAGAATTGAGACCAATTGAGATACCACCTTCGGGCAAAGACTTCACCATAATAGCTGCATTTCAAGCCAATATGAGTGCAGTGATGTTTAATAAATCTAACTTATCACAAAGGTACTCTGTCTAATTTCTGCTATTACAGTGTTTCTTCCCCAAGTGAAATCTTTGATGTATAATGGTTGAAGGATTCTGGTAAAGACTTTGCTACCTTTCTGCTATCACAGAATTTTTTTTTTTTTTTTTTTTTTTTTTTTTTTTTTGCACATCTGTAACATATAAGACATAATTTATTACTGAAGGAGTTACATTCACTTCACTTGCAAGGCTTATTCCATTCAAATTCCTGATTAGTTACTAAGGCTAGACTTCTTGGAAATGGCTGTTGCATAATTAACTACATTTCTAGTCCCTGGAAGGTCACTGATGTTTAATAAGGGCTGGGTACCAGAAGAAGGCATCTCCATGGGAACTATGTTCATAGGGCTTTCTCCTTGTATGAATTCATTAATGTATAGAGAGGTATAACTCCCCAAAGGTTTCTCCACTTTCAGTGAATTTATAGCTGTCTCTCCTGTGTGAATTTTCTTATGTTTAGTAAGAACTGACCTGTGGGCAAAGGCTTTGCCACATTCAATGCAGGAGCAAGGTCTCTCTCCAGTATGAGCTCCCAGATGCTAATGAGCTCTTACTTGCTTCTAAAGGTTTTGTTACACTCACTACTTTCATAAGGTTTCCTTCCAGCATGAATTCTCTGATGTCTGGTAAGGTGTGACTTTAAATGGAAGGTTCTTCCACATTCAGTGCATTCATAAGGCTTCTCTCCTGTATGAAGTCTCTGGTGTACATTGAGATATGCCTTTTGGGAAAAGGCTTTCCCACACACACTGCATCCATAGCGTTTCTCTCCAGTGTGAGATTGCTGGTGTCTAGTAAGCCGGAACCTACTACTGAAGCATTTCCCACATTGACTGCATGAATACGGTCTCTCTCCAGTATGAGTTCGCAGATGTTGTGTGAGGTGTGACTTGCGTTTAAAGGCTCTGTTGCACTCATTACATTCATGGGGTTTCTCTCCTGTGTGAGTTCTCTGATGTTCAATGAGCTGAATCTTCCTCATGAATGTTTTTTTACATTCATTGCATACATGCAGTTTCTCTCCTCTTTCGGTTCTTTGATGTGTAACAAGTTGTGATTTCCTGGAGAAGGCTTTCCCACACTCACTGCATTCATATGGCTTCTCTCCTGTATGAAGTTTTTGGTGGGCAGTGAGATATGCCTTCTGGGAGAAGCCTTTTCCACATTCAGTGCATTCATATGGCTTCTCTCCTGTATGAAGTCTCTGGTGTGCAGTGAGATTTGCTTTTTGGGAAAATGCTTTCCCACACACACTGCATCCATAGAGTTTTTCTCCAGTGTGAGATCGCTGGTGTCCAATGAGTTGGGATTTCTCACGGAAGGTTTTACCACATTCATTGCATAAATATGGTCTCTCTCCAGTATGAGTTCGCAGATGACGAATGAGCTCTGACTTGCTTCTAAAAGCTTTGCTGCACTCATTACATGCATAAGGTTTCTCTCCTGTATGAAGTCTCTGATGTACGGTAAGGTCTGACTTAAAATGGAAGGTTCTTCCACATTCAGTGCATTCATAACGCTTTTCTCCTGTATGAAGTCTCTGATGTAAAGTGAGATGTGACCTCTGGGCAAAGGCTTTGCCACATTCAGTGCACTTATAAGGTTTCTCTCCTGTATGCATTCTCTGGTGAATAGTGAGATATACCTTTTTGGAAAAGGCTTTTCCACATTCAGTGCATTTATAAGGTTTCTCTCCTGAATGCATTCTCTGGTGTACAGTGAGATACACCTTTCGGGAAAAGGTTTTTCCACATTCAGTGCATTCATAAGGCTTCTCTTCTGTATGAAGTCTCTGGTGGTCAGTGAGATGTGCCTTTTGGAAATAGGCTATTCCACATTCAGTTTCATAAGGCTTCCCTCCTGTATGAGTTTGCTGATGTACCATGAGCAGGGACTTTCTGGAGAATGCTTTCTCACACACATTACATTCATGGAGTTTCTTTCCTCTTTTGTTTCTTGGATGTCTAACGAGCTGTCCTTTCCTGCAGAAGGCTTTGCCACCCTCATTGCATTCATATGGTTTCTCTCCTATATACTTTTTGTGATAGTCATTGAGCTGTGATTTAGTGTTACTGGGCTTAATACATCTGTGGTATTTAAGTTCGGTAAGAGTTTTGTCAAGCTTGATATGGAGACATGACTTCCCACATCCATTAAAGTCATCATAATCCTTTTCTGCAAAACGTCTATCCAGGATAACAAAACCTAAAAGAAATTTCAAACTTTTACAATGTGAGCCAAACTTATTGTACCTTTGTGTTAAAGAAGCAATATTTTTACATAAATTAAAATGGTTTTCAAGGGCAAATTTGCTGATACCTATCTAAACTTTTAAGCTCATTTTGGTTTTCTTGGTATCATGGCATATGGTCAACTTCCCATATTTCTTCTAGATAAAAGAATAATTAAAATGTCCCTTTTTTTCAGAGGGGGCAGGAGGTACAAAAATGTCGTTTTTAGCTGACTTTTATGAGTTTTTAGTCTAAGAGCATTTACCCCATGATCTATGACAAAAGTCAATACACTAAAACAGCAAAAGGAAAAAAAAAGCTGTGTTAGCAACAATTATAAATAGTCTATAATAAATAAGTATTCCTTGAGCTGCTTTCCAAATAGAATCTTGCAAAATGAAGATGGAACTAGAAATAGAAAGACACTGAGACCGAACAGATCAAAACCAGATGGAAAGCATGGATCCATTTTTCCAACAAACTTTGCAAGGGGTGATATTTGAGACACTAAAGTGATTAATAGTATATTCTCTGTCTTCACGAAGCTGTCATCCTAGTAAATAGAGTTAATAGTTAAGCAAAGAATAAAGAAAATTTCAGAATGTGAAAAACAGTACAAAGGAGGTGATAAAGTAGTGGTAGGTCAACCTTAGAAATCCACAAGAAAAACAAGGCAGGCAGACATAATAAGATAAGAATGAGCAATGTTATGCAAAGAACATTAAAGAACATTCCAAGCAAAGGGAACAGCCACGTCAAAATACAGAAGTGATAAACTGGCATGATCAAGAAATATAACAGACACTGGTATTTCTGCAATATCCCAAGCCTGAGTGTAGTAGAAATATGTAAGTTTGGCGAGGCTGGGAAAATTGAGAATATAGAAATGCTGTGGAAGACTTTATTAGAGATTGGTTTTCATACTAAGAACAATGGCAGTAAGCCATTAAACATTCTTTGGCAAGAAAACAACATGTTCGGAATTGACAGTTCTAAAAGATTACTGTTCCATGGAGAATTAATTGGGATGAAATTATAGAAGAGACTATACAGGAGACTGTGATAGAGTTCAGGTAGCTTAAGCATGCAAAATTACAATGCAGATGAAAGAGAAGTGAAAAAGCACATATTATGGGGGAGGAAAACACATGTATGATGCAGAAAAAGAGAACATTCCCTTTTAGAGTGAATATTGAAGATGGAAGAGAAAGAAATTGATTGTAGAACCTCAGTATGCAGCATAATAATCAATACCGGTGCCATTTAATAAAATAAGGAAGAGTAGGAACACAGGCTTGGCATTTGAGGGAATGGACTGTGCCACTAAACATCTATACTAGGTTTAGGATAAAAAATAATCCACATTCAAGAGAGATACAAAGTATACAGTTAAATCTATGTGTGGAGAAAGTTCTAGACTTAAGATAACAATTTAGCTATGAGTATATATACATTATTTAAATATTATAAATTGCATGGGATTGGATGAGATCATCTAAGTAGAGAGAGAATGCGATAGGACCAGGCCAAGAGCTTCATGCACTCCAAGTTTCAGAGTTTAGGTTTAGATATGCACAGATATATTAAAAGACCACCCAGAAGATATGTCTATGTTAATAATGTAAATAAGTAACCTGTGTTATAGTAGTTTTAGTAACAAAGGTTTGGAATTGGAAAAATCAGAATACAGAACAAAATGCATCTCATTCCAAAATTGCTGTGGTAAAATATTTAATAATCACCTTGTTACTAAATCTTTCTTCTCTCATTCCAACTGCACACCAAAACTAAACATTCCTAAGATGTCAATTTAGTGTAATACTGCAGTCAATAGTCCAACATTCTATGTAGGAGTTGAAATATTGTGATATAAATCACTTGCAAGTTCCTAAGTGATAGGGATGCTGGGAACATTTTTGTTCTAATATTTGTTTGCTGACTCAGCTCCTAAATCCCTTGAAATTTCCTAGGTGATAGGAGATGTTTTATTCTAATGAGGCAACTCTTAATGGGCTCCTGGAGAGCTTCAGGATGGGGTCTGGTCATCATTCTCCAGGAAGGGGAGAAGGGCTAGAGACTGAGTTAATAGCTGATTGTTATATGTAATGAGGCTGCCACAAAAATCCCTAAAAGACAAGAGTTCAGAGAGCTTCCATGTTGGTAAACACATCTACATGGTAAGAGAGAGCATATCCCAATTTTCTTGGTCTAGAGCTACAGAGCTTGACACCCTTCTGGATCTTACCCTACATACCTGTTCATCTGACTGTTCCCCCATATTCCTTTATCATATTTCTTATAATAAGCCAGTAAACATGTTTGAATTCTGTATGCTCTCAGCAGAAAATATCAATTCTAAGTAGGGAGTTGGGGAGACTCCTGAATTATAGGCAAGTCAGAAGTGTGGGTAACCTAGGGGCCATGAGTTATGACTGGCATCTGAAGTGGGACAGTCTTGCAGAACTAAGCCCTTAACCTGTGGGGTTTTTACTACCTAGGGTCCAGGTAGGTAATATCACAACTAAATTGAAGCACCTCTAGTTAGTATCAGGAGTGCTGGAGAACTGGTTGGTGTAGGAACACCACCCTATGTCAAATTTGGTGTTAGAAATGTTCTCTTTGAGTAGGAAAAAAGAGTTCATTTTTCCTTTACAAATGTGATACAGTCCCACAAAGTTCAATATATTTAGATATATATATGTCCATTCAGAATTTAAAAATAGGGCAAAAGGATCACTTGTTCCTTTCCCAGGGTAGAGTTACAAGTGTACTGATTAGTAGAACTATCAACTTATCCAGTCAGTTTAATAATATGGCAACTTTGTCCAACACTGATCAACAGAACCTTCTACAATGAAGGAAATGTTCTAAATCTGTTTTTTCCAACATGGTAGCCATTAGTCATGTGTGACTATTGAGTACTGGAATGCAATTAGGGTTACCACAGAACTGAATTTTTAATTTTACTTACAATTAATTAAATTTAAGTGACCAACACAGTGGCCACACAGGTACAGACCATCATCAGCGTTTTATTTTCTCTGAATCATTTGTAAAACAGCCCCTATTTGACAATTCCCTTTGCACAGCCTTGTCTTATTTAAAAAAATGCCTCATAATCAAATTCTCAAGAATTTAAATCCTGTATTCACCATTATAATCTTCTTGAAGCAGTCATCCCAAATTGTCTTCTTTCAACATTACATTCTTCCTTAAGCTCTGTTCCTACCATATCTCTGGAACCCATCAATTAAGACTTTTTAAGGAATCACTCCCCATGGAGGAAGAAAACATTCACCTGCCTCTTTTCCATATATCTTAGAACCTCAAGCTATACCTTCCTTTTGTTTCAGTGCTACCCCCCAGCTATCAAGCAAGATTCTCTAGAACTAGCAAAAGACAAAAACAAACCAAATTCACACTTTCAAAGTCAATTATTAGCATAAAATCTAGAGTAATCAGCTGTTTCCTTGCTCATAGTCTCCTAAGCACAATCTCTTAGCTATCTCCAATATCACTTTCTCTATTTCCTTCTCCAAAGTCTTTTTATGTTACTAATGACCCACACAAGGCATTCCCTCATTTTTATTCCAAACCCAGTTATTCTTCCTGCAGAAATTATCTGATTATGCTTACAAAAAGTTCTTTTTATCTCTGAAGCATTTGTAAAACAGCCTGTCTATTTGATACTTCACTCTGCTCTGTCTTGCATTATACAAAAATGTCTCATGATCAAACTCTCAAATATTTTCAATAATATGGACCCATGTCCTTCATTACATTAAAATCTCTTCTGAGCCGGGCTTGGTGGCTCAGCCTGTAATCCCGTACCTTGGGAGGCTGAGGTGAGTGGATTGCCTGAGCCCACGGGTTTGAGACCCACCTGGGCAACTTGGTGAGACCTCATCTCTACAATAAATCAAAAAACTGGCCAGGTGTGGTAGCACACGCCTGTAGTTCCAGCTACTTGGAAGGCTGAGGTAGAAGGATTGCTGGAGCCCCAGCAGGTTGAGGCTGTGGTGGCTGGGAGCGGCCACTGCACTCCAGTCTGGGTGACAGAGTGAGACTCCAACTCAAAAAATAAAATAAAAATAAAAATAAATAAATAAAATCTCTTCTGAAGCCCATGAGAATACTGGTTTTTCAACTATTGAGATCAAAGGAGAAACACCTGGAAACTGTTTCTAACTTCATGTGTTCAGGTCCCTTCCCCTATCTAACCAATCTGAAGTACCATCTCTAGAGAGACAACATGTAGTTTGGAAATGCTCCCACTAGTCTGCACACATCTCTGATTTAAAAATAAAATTGTGAATCAGAAATGAAACAAATGAAAGTCTGCATTCAAGAAAGATGTGATTAAAGCTGTTGTCAGTGAATTACTATATAGACCACACTAAATAAAGAAACATAAGACACAGACTCTTTTCTTTATATGGAAAGAGTAGCCTCACACCAAGCATTAAGATAATACACATATAATACATGACCATTGCTGAGTCAGTGCAGCATAGACACAAGGCAGACAGAAGTCAGGAAGGTGGAATTCCCAGAGTGCCCTCAAGTAGTCAAAAACTACATCATGGAGGTACAAAAGAGAGCACACAGTGGAAAAGGGAAGTATCTGGAGGTAAAAATGCAACGTAATCAAAGGTACTCATGTTAGTCCTCATGTTATTTGACATTATTGATTTCAACAAAATAATCACTTCAACCTCCTGGGAATAATCTTGTCACTTGTTTTTGGGACATTTTCCAACTTTCCAACCATGGTTCTGACACTTAACCCACTTGATTTGGTTCTCCTCAATCTCTACATATACATGGACCTCTTGCTTTTTCAGCCAACACTCACTCCTCAAGTTCCATGGCTTTAATGCTCCCTACTTCCAGAAGAATGTAGCTATACAATCAAAAAGAATTAACAAAAAATCAGAAACCACTCAGTGTATGTAGCAATGGGGGCACTGCTGCAAGCCACTTTTGAAAATAGGTGAAATTTTCAAGAAATCTTTTCAAAACAATAAAATTAACGGGAGTATCAGAGACATTCAGAAATAGAACAGTCAATAGGGAAGACTCAAGGTGACTTAAAGGTGACTGGCCACCAGAATGCAGAGCAACATAACAGAACCTAAATAAAATCCACAAGGAGGGGAAAGATATGCCAGGAGGAAAGGTGACCTCAGTTTCTATCCTGTATGCAAACAAATATAGAATTAGAGGGTAGATGAGACTACAGAAAGGGAGCTGTATAGTTCAGGCTACCTGTCAGAAGAAGAGCTTGAATCTTTTGTATATATACTCTATGATGGTAGAAATATCTAGAAGAAAGGGTTTTGCTTTCACATAGAAAAAGGAGGAATTCTGTACTAGTGGCTGGCAATATACAGCGGATGAGGGACCATATTAGACATTAGTAGTAGTAGGAATGTAAATCTGGGACACTCTAGCAGAGAACAGAGACCTCAGGTCTTGAGAGTTAATAAAACTTTTAATAGAATAATCAGCAGGAGATAAAAAATCAGAAGATAGGAAGGCAGGAGAACAGGTTGTGAATAAGGAGATAGAGATGCACTAAGAGATGAGGAGTGAGGGGCTTTCACACAAACTAAAGTGGGGTGATTACCAGGGAAGAAAATCAACCCTTTAAAAGTGACAAAGCTATGTTTAAGGAGGGAGCAGAGCTACAGCAAAGTAATCTAGGTCAAGAGAATTTCAAGGCAAGTAAGATAGACAACAGGAGGTGAGACAAAGCAGAGTAGGCTGGGAAGAATCGAGGCAGGTGAGAACTTGGGGTCCAAGATAAGATGAACTGCATGGAATCAGATCCAGAAATTAGAAAAAAGGAAGACATCATATTTGATATCAGGCAAAGAAAAGCCCAATTAGGAATGAACAAAGACCCACAAAGGTGTTGATTAGGTTTGCGGTTCATCAACTAGTATAAGAAATATTCTCTAAACAAAATTTCAGAAGCATCATCCCTTCATTTTCTCACCATTTTCTAGGTTTTTCACTCATTTACCTGGAAACTTTTGAGTATGGGCTGCTCTTTCTACTATCCATGAAGGTTCTCCTTGCTCCGAATGGAAGAGTGAATTTGGTTTGGTACCTTGATACCCTGTAAACAGTAAAACTTGAACACTTGGCACCAAGTATATATGCTTGGTGAAAACTATTAAGACGGGAGAGTTATATTTCAGGGACCATATCAATTATACTTTGAAAAAGTAAACACCGTTTGCTCAGGATACAAAACATATAATTTGGGCCAAGAAGGAAAATTAAAGTTTATGACACACCTCACACCCATTCGGATGGCTATCATCAAACAAAACAAAAGAGAAAACAATTAAGTATTGACAAGGATGTAGAGAAACTGCAGCACTGTGTACTCTTGGTAGGAATGTAAAATGGTACAACTGCTTTAGAAACAGTTACTCAAAAAATTAATAATAGAATTATCATAAGATCTGGCAATTCCACTTCTGGTAATATTCCTAGAAGATAGAAAACAGGATCTCAAAGAGATATGTGCACAACCAGGTTCACAGCAGCATTATTCACAAGAGCTAAAACATGGAAACAACCCAAGTGCCCATTAATAGATAAATGAGGTTGGGTGTGGTGTCTCAAGCCTAAAATCCCAGCACTTTTCCCAGGAGGCCAAGGTGAAAGGATTGTTTGAACCCATGGGTTTGAGACCAGCCTGGGCAAGTTGGTGAGACCGCGTCTTGACAATAAATCACATGGTAGCACATGCCTGTAGTTCTAGCTACTTGGAAGGCTGAGGTGGGATAATCACCTGAGTCCAGCAGGTCAAGGCTACAGTGGCCTTAAGTGTGCCACTGCACTCCAGCCTAGGAGACAGAGTGACTAAACAATCAAAAAATAATAAAAACACAGATAAATGAAACAGGAGCATGTGACATATATATACACAAAAGAATATTATTCAATGTCAAAAAGGAAGAAAATTCTGCCACATGTTATGACATGGATGAACCTAAGACATTGTGCTAAGTGAAATAAGTCAATCACAAAAGACAAGTCCTGTATTATTCCACTTACATCAGATACTTAGAGTAGTCAAAGTCATAAAGATGGTAATTAGAACAACTGAATGGTAATTGGAACTGGGGGATAGTGGGGGAAGAATGGGTAGTTACTGTTTTATGGGAACAGAGTTCCAGTTTTATAAGATGAAAAAAGTTATAAAGACAAATGGAGATGATGGTTACACCACACTGAATGCATTTAATTTGAATTAATCCCACTGAAATGCACACTTAAAAATGGTTAAGATGGCAAATTTTATGTTATGCATGTTTTCCCACAAAAAAAGAGAAAGTCTATGACATGCAAAGCCTTTAGTCCAAATCTTTAAATATTCAAGGGACAATACAGAGTTCACCAAATGAAAAAGAAAAGGTAACTGACTGGGATACTGTCCTTACCTACTGATACAAGGTTGCTGTAGTTCTCCAACATTACCTCCTTGTGAAGGACCTTCTGTGTTGTGTCCAAAAGCTGCCACTCCTCACTGGTGAAGTACACAGTCACATCTTCAACGGATAATGATCCCTATAACAACACATCCAATGCTTTCTGAGGTGAATATCAACAGATGCTGTGGAATAGAGGAAGAGGAACATGTTCTGCTCCTTTTCTCCATGATGAAATATGCACACTGTGACTATATCACATACCATAGGACCATGGAATTCTGCTAATCCTTCTACTCTTAAAAAAGCACTAAAGCAATGATCTGCATAGCTAAAAAACAATGTACAATAAGAATGTTTATTATTCCTTTGTTTATAATAGTCAAAATCTATCAACAATCTTAATGTCTATAAAAAGCAGTGTTAAAATACTGCAACTCCATGGTATAATATACTATATGAATGTTAAAATCAATGAGGTAGATGTATAAATCTGGATATCAACGATCCTCAAGGCATTCACTTAAATGGAAAAAATCAAACTCCCAAATTATAAAATGTGATCCAAGAAACAGAAAAAACTGCAATAATATAAGCATTATATATGTATAAGTATTTATATGTATGTATAATAGAATTGAATATAAATATGGATGTGTTCTACGACATGTCATAGAAAGGGACTAGAAGAAAACCCAAACTATTAGCATTTGGGTTGGGGTTTGAACAGAAGGGTGAAAAGTGATATTGTCTTTGGATCCATATACTTCTGTTTGCTTGACTC